AGCTTCTTCCTTCCTTCATCCCACCAAAAGAGTTCATAAATAAGGATGGCAAGGAAAGTCCTTTATTCAAGAAGATGGTTTTTTAATAGGTGAAAGATGATGTCCATGGGCATCAGTCCAACCTCCAACAGGCAGCTTGATCCTCAGGCAGCCAGAGTGTGGGGCTGGTAGCTCACCTTACCTTCTAGAATGCATTACGTGGTCCCTATATTTAATCAGGAGAGACGAAATTTCATGAATTGTTTAATAGGGAATTTTAAGACCCAAACACTCAGGGTTTTATTAAATAAATACAGTTAACATAGACATCTTTTTCAGAGTTGTATCCAAGAACTTCAGACACTTACATGAGCTGGAGAATATAAACATTGTCTAAATACCAGAGTCACTGGATTTCAAACATGGAAAGGATAAGATGTACTTTCAGAGGCTCATATGGATACTTCTGGTTCAAGGTGGTTGTTGCCTTAATAATAGTCGTACTTACATGACTTAGGTCAGGTTTTCTACCAGACCCATGGTTCTTAACTGAAAGCAGACATCAGAATTACTTAGGGAATATTTTTCCAAAACGTGACTGCCCGGGACGCTTCCTACACCCCTGATTCTGAGTCATGAGGGCTGGAATCTGGGAACATGTGCTTCAAAAAAGCCCCTGCAAATTTTTGAAGGCACTAGTTTCACCACACTATTTAAAAACACTACTTTTGACTGAAGTTGGAGTGGCTGAAACCCTTAGTGGTCGTGACTCATCTTTGTGTCTGCTGTGGTGTCTCATGTATAGAAGGGAGCTCAGTAAAAGTTTATTAAGGAAATGAAACAAATTACCTAGAAAACTACACCTTGTATATTTTAAACTATGCACTCGTTTGAATTATTGCCAATTATTACCAGCTTAAGTAAATTGAATAGTTGAATAGAATTTTTAAAATTATCACCTTTGGAAGGAAGACTTTTTTACATGATGATAGGGCACAATGTGGTCTAAATGCTTAGTGAATAGATGATATAAATTTTTAAGATAATTTAATGTGAAGCCAGATAACAATGCAAAGTTATGAAAAACACTTTTATAATCTCTGATATCTGTTTTTATCTCTATTATTTTATGTGTAAAAATGTCATTTGGAGTAGGATCCTTGGTAGCATCCTGACCTTCTACCAGGCTCCATTTCTCTACTATCTTTAGCTGGGAAACTGGAATGTGTGCATTCAAATGACTGCTGTTCTTCAAAGTGGACATATTGGGTGATAGACATTCTGGAAACTTCTCTTTGGCAGCTGTCTTGCATGTACCTGTGTCTCAACTTCCTGCTCCCTGTGTCTGTAAGACTTGTCCTTTGCCATTGAGGAAGCTTCAGTGTAGGTGGCACAATAAGAAACCACCAAGATGGAAGGTACTGAGGGACTGGTATGTGACATCATAGTCCTGAGCATGGATGGACACGGGATGGCTCAGAGTGCGCGGCAACACTGAGGAAAACTCAGGAATAAGGTGTGCTCTGAGCTGGATCTCAGTGGCTATGAGATTGGGGAAGGAGTATCCCAGGCAGCAGAGGAATCGTGAGATGGTTACTGAGTTGGATGAGTGTTTGTACACGGTGCAGACGTTATAAGGGGAATAGAAAGCTCTCAGAAGAGGACCTTTTGTGTAGACTTCCATTTCCTTCCTTCCCAAAGCCAGTTTACAATACAGGTTTCAACAGGAGATCCCAGGAAGAAAGCTCCTGCTCCCCAGGACACTGGGCGTAGGGGACCATATTGTCCCTCTGCCTGGGACAGTCTTACTGCTTTTACTTTATGATTGTGTAATTATAAAGCACACTCCTTATAGTTTGGGAAAGAGTCCCAGTTTGGCAAAGAATGCCATAGCCACCTCCACATTTAGGGTTATTATCCCTATTTAATGTGTGAGAAAATGTGGGCTCAGAGGGGCATGACTTGTTTAAAATCTTTCCCAAATCCTTTTTAACATGTCGTCTTAAGCACCTTTTGTGGGGAAAGCAGAAGCCTCCCTCTTAGATAATCAAGGTGTTACTAATCCCGTTGTTCCCGTAAGTTCAAGGCTAGTTAAAGGCACAGCTGTATCTTCTTCCTTCAGCCCAAGGAGAGTCAGGGTAAATGTCTTGTCCCAAAGCCCCAGTGATGGGAGTTGAGGGGTCCTGGGGACCCAAGATAAGCCTAAAAATAGAGTTGTTTGTCTTGGGTAATTTTCTATTTTCTCAACTAGCACATGGTTCATAGGAGACATTAGAATACACACCGTACAGATTGAAGCAGGGAGGAAACTGGTGGCCTTTCACAGGTGGTTTTCCTGGAGGACCTGGGCTGCCTAGGAACCCACCTGCACGGGGCTGACAGCCAGTGTGGACAGGTGGACAGGTCAGGTCCTCATTGAGCTCCTTGGGCTTCTCCTTGGCGGGCTCCCTTCACCAGGGTTTAGTCTTCTGGTTTGTTCCATTTGGGGCTTTATCCCTATCCTCTGGTCTCCTGTCTACTGCTCCCGTATGTCCCTCTGCTTGGTGCCCATGAGATGACATCTTTGCTAGGCCTTCTTTTCTCCATCAGTGGTCTCTCAGTCTGTCTTTGGGAAGGGGAAACTCGTCTTCCTGACTCTGTATGGCATCTGAGGAACTGGCTTCGCTTAGAGAAGGCCTGACTGAATGCTCAGGAAACAAGGAGGTGGAACCCAGAGACTAACTTCCCATAGCTGCAGGGAGCAGTTCTGGGAACTAGAGGACTTCTTCCCCATTCCTGCTGACCCACTGGTGCTGAAGGGATCTCTAGGAACCCACATAGCAGAATCCCAAACCAAAGACCCCAGAGAGCATGGGTTCCCTTCATCCCTCAATTCAAGGGATTTCTTCACATTTAAAATATGAAAAGTGAACCCTAATGTGTCATGCACTACTGAATAAATCTATGATAATGACCTTTGGGAATATACAGCACCCAAGGATTTCTAAGCTGAGGACATTGGAACTATTTGGAAAGTTGTTAATTTCTTGTTAACAGAAGCAACATGTTCTGAAGTGACCACCAGTTAATGAGATGATGCTACTTGCATGCAAACAAGGCGACTTAACATGGGTCTTATTTCTTATTCAGTTTGTTATCATTATTTTAATGCAATGTACTTAATGAACAAATGAGATTCCTCACATAAGGATCTTGATGCAGTGAGGGGAAAAGAGCTCAAAAAGGATAGAGAAGGTAACCACAAAATCATCTGGGGACTGTGTATCCTAGGTGTTAGGATACTATTTTTCTAGCCCATCAAATCCTGTTTGCACTTGGGATGCCTAATTATAATAAATAATATTAAAAAATTTAGTTAAATAATATTTTAGATATACACGAAACTATAGAAATGGATACAGGGCTACTTTATACACAAGATTTAATATACATTTTGTGTGTTTTCTTTATATATTATTAATAGAGAAATAGTATCTATACAGTCAGAGGTGCCCTCCTCTCCCACCCTGTTTCCTTCTCTCCTTCTTTTGATGTTGGTTTGTTTCTTTCCGTACATCTTATATACTTTTACTGTGTATGTATGTTATGTTGACATAGCAGTAAGCACTTATCACTGCTATGTAGGTTTTAATATTTACGTAAATACAAATAATGTTTCAAAAAGCAAGTGGCAAAAGAATTCCTTGTATATTTTGGCAGTTAATCATTTGCTGGCTTTATGCATTGTAAATTTTATTTCTAAGCCGGTGTCTAGTCTACCACATTTATTTATGGCTATTTATATACAATTTAAATTCACAGAAAGCTAAATTAATTGATTTATTTTTATGGGTTATTATTTTGTATCTTATTTAAGGAATATCCTACCCCAAGATCAGTGAAATAGCTTTCTATGTTTTCCACTTGGAGTTTTAAATTTTTTTGCTTCATGTTTAGCTCTTTAAGCTATCTAGATTTATTTTTAATGTGTGGTGTGAGGTAGGGATTCAAATGCAGTTTTTTTTTTAAACCTGGTAATGGAATTCATTTCAGTTGGCCTAAAAATTATTTTCTCTCCTGTTTTCCCCACTTTATTTTTGATGCCATCTTGGTACTAAAAATCTTTTGGCATAAAAATACCTATGGGCATAGCTTCATAGTATTGAGGCTCTTGGAGTTGATCTTATTCTTGAACATCATTGATTATGGGGTATTGAGTATCTTGTCAAATTCATGAGTTTTATTTTGTTTTGAAGTAAAAAATCAGATATAAATGAATATTCTAATTAGGAAAAGATGTTTACTTACTGAAATAATTTAATCATCGATGCAATAAATACAGCATTTATATCTCCATTCCAGTTACAGAGTATATTTCTTTGTCAACTTATTACGTATATATTGCTATCTACTACATATGAATGGATGCATTATTCAGTGGTAAATATGCCATATCAATGATATTGCAGTCAGTATCCCACTTTGAGTAGCCCTGTTTTATTAGATGGCCCAAATCATGTATTTTATTGGATGCATAAAATTGATAGTGAGGTCAGATTGGTGGTCAAGTTAAATATTGCATGAATAAGCCCAGTATAGAATGTGTACCTGCATTGCACGCCCACCTGGGAGGGGACTGAGTGCTGCTCAGGCAAACTGATACAGGTTGGGGCCTTTGGGGATTTCCCACATTTGTGACCATTCAATGTGACAGAAGGAAGGGGTGGGTTGCTCCCTGGCAAAAGATCCGGTTCAAAAGTAGAGAAAAAATTCTAAGATGGAGCACAGAGTTGGGATTGAGAGACAAAGGGCAGGAGCAGAGCAAGGGTGTTAGATGATGGCTGAGCCACCCCTGCTCCTTTCCCTTGGCCCAAGTGGTCACGCATGATCTGCGGCCTGAATGGACAGTGGCCATGTGCTTTATTCCTTTGCTTGAATGTGTTTTATTCATCAGACTTGAATGCTGCTTAAACTAAATTCATAGTCTTACAGATAAACCATGGGTAAAGCTTTATGTTTCCTATTATCCCATTTTCTTTTAGGTTTTGTGAATGATTCTGTTACTAAATCTATTGTGGCTCTGCGCTTAACTCTGGTGGTGAAGACCAGCACCTGTGTGCCAGGAGACAGCCAGGCAAATGACTTGGAGTGTTCAGGAAAAGGAAAATGTACCACGAAGCCATCAGAGGTAAGGGGACAGCCGGTAGCTTGAAAATCTATGTTGACATAGAGGGTGGTGGGTAAAGCAACCCGAGAGGAAAGACCAAGAGCATTCACTGAAGGAGCCTTCTGTATTTCTGGCTCCAACTATGTATTAGTATGCAACATACGGATGTATAAATCTCCATGTGATTTACAAAGCAGTTGCAGGACATTTGTGCAATAGTAGATCTTGCTTTGATCCGAAGGAGAGATCATATCTGTTAGTAGAATCAAGATAAATGGAAGAAAGAAAAGGTAAGCACAGTATTTATTTTTCAGCGGTTGGAACTGTTGCCTGCCAGTGTGACAGTGTCCTTGCTGGCCTTCACATTTTCCTGGTGATGATAACAGAGTTACAGAAGCAAAAGGCCAGTAGGAAAAGGAATGAGAAGAAGTGGGGTGGGAAGCCGTCCCACCGTTCTTGGTCTTTGTGGGACCAGCATCATCATGGATGCTCCGGGCTCTGTTCCTCATGGTCTTTACTAGCAGTGGTCACATGGGGCACAGGGCAAGGCTCTGAGCAGAGCTTCCTCTCCTGCCTCCTGGTTCTTGGTTATCGACAGGGGTTCAGGAGTCAGACAACAGGGGAGCACAATAGCCCTGGGGGCCAGTCCCCATCAGGATGACGATCCCTTACGACACTTCAGGTACCTGGACACCCGGCTCCACCAGAAGCTCCCTGATGAGGGAGGTGATGCTCTTTGTGAGAGGCCTGTCCCCGGGGCCGTCTTCTCCTCTGGCCCTTGTTACTGCTGTCTCGACGTCTTTTCCTCTCTCTAGCTGTGCACCTACTTATGCTGAAGCTAATGTTAAACGAAAGGGAGTCCCCCAGACCCAGAAAGAGCATGATTGGGTTTAGGTTGGCTTTAAGGGCAGCCCGGTGAGGGTTCTTGGGTGTCACCTCCTGTGGTGATGTGGACACACTGGGTAACAGTGTGTGGTGTTCAAGTGCTGAAGGAATGGGGCTACCGCTGGAGGAAGATTTCACATGCTGCCCTTGCCATCTTGGAAAACCCGTGATTTTCCTGTCTTAGGTGTGATATTGCAGCTGCTTAAATATACTGTCCTCCTTAAGATATTTCCTGAAAAGGCAGAATGTGGTCAGGAACCCAAGAGAGTTGTGGAAATGATCATTTTTGCTAAATCTTTGAAAATGAACACAGATGTAAACGAAAAGGCGAAGCTATATCCCTGTTTTGGGGAGGGAGGGGAGACTGGTGGTGGTGCCAGGGGGTGACGCACAAGAGGGGCTTTTACCAAGCCAAGCCCGTCCTTTGGACCCTGTGGGCTTCCGTCTCTGCCAGTTTGGACCAGTCTGCTCTCTTTCCTGAAGAGAAGCCTCATTTATCAATGCATTTTATGGGAAAAAAAAGTAAAGGGTATTGAGCGTTCTATGCCAGAGAAAGCTGGGCAGGGGGACATAACTGGGGAAGGGCTGTGGGAGCCGCGAGCACCTAGTCACTAAGGAGGTGCAGGAGGGCAGGAGTGGGGCCCAAGGAGAGCCAACTGAGCAGGTGGAAGAGCGCCAGGCCTCCCAAGGTGGCAAGAAGGAGGCTCCCAGGCTCCCCAGGGGCATCCTTGCTGGTTCCTGAGAACCCTTTCCAGGACTGATCACCTCTGAATAAGACGACATGAGCAAAAGTGTCTCAGAGGAGGAACAGAGGGCGTTCTTGGGAACTTCTGAATGACAGAGTGGTCGGGTTCCTGTGAGCTTTCTTTCCCAGTGGCTGGTCCTGCCATGCACACTTTTAATCTACAAGGCAGTCACCATGTCCTCTTGACTCATGGATACTGTGGTCATTGACCAGATCGGGGCAGTCCTCCGTGGGAAAGCCCTAGCCAGGAGGCCCTGCCTAGAACTGGCTTGGAACTGACTCCTTGAGAAGGCAATGGAGGTGTTTAACACCTGGCAGGAAACTTGCCAAACCCAGCTGAGCATGAAGCCATGACTCATATATCCACGCTGATTTTAGCAGATCATTTCATAGGAAGCGCATCTTCATCAGGGGCACCTGTGAGATAGTGCTTCCTTCTGCACCCCATGCTGGTTGTCTGTAGGGTGGAGTCTCTGCTGCTGTTGATTCTGCATTTAGCTTCAGTGAATATAGGGAAAGAGTGGCCGGCAATCTTATCTGAACCATTGCATTTACCCCTGGGTGACTCTAAGCAAGCCAACAGGCTGGGGTCACCGGGTCCCTTGCCAGACCCACGTCCTGGGGCACAGTGTTCCCTCAGAAGCATCTTGAGCTGTCTGCTGCAGGGGCGGGGTTGGGGGGCGGTGGTGAAAAGGCTGCTCATCCTCTCTGTCTAGTTGAGGCCTCTGGATTGTCATCAGGGCAGTTACAGCGACTTAGGAGCAGTTTTCTGGCGATAAAAGACCATCATCGTCATGTTTCTTTTTACAGTTTTCTAAAATTGGAAGTTATAAAGTCCCACCTTCCCCTGAAGGCAAGAACCCACTCCATAGCACAAAACAAATAGGACTGTATTTGGCGATTTAATGTTATTGTTTCTAATCATTTTTATATCTTTTTATTAGATCATCTATCAAAATAAAAGCCATTCTGTTATTTCCACACCACTCTCATCTGGTAATGGAACTCATTTCTTTCCTGTCAGCTGCACTTTGGTGAGGGGATGTCTCACAGTGGCGGGTTGATGGGTGGCTTGTGATAAAGCTGAAGCTTGCTTTTCTTAGGCACTGCACTGTTCTGGAAAGGTCTTTTTAAAGTGTTTACTGTTACACAGGCAGGGGTGCTTTAGTTCTTGAAAACTGCTTCGGTTACAAGGGTTGATTGTTAGGAAGATAACTTGACTGTGGGCCAGCTGTGGCCTAGTTGATGATTGATCTCTTAATTATCTTATAGGTCAAGTGTCAGAGAATCTGCATGGGGCTCTTTGCTGGTGGCATTCAGCCTTCTTAGATCCCAAATTAGATTCCATTGACCTTATCTCTCAAGGTCAAAAGGTTTGCATCCATCTGGATTTTCCAGAGAAACAGAACTAATAGGATAGGTATAGGAATTGGCTGATGTAATTGTGGAGTCTTGGCAAGTCCAGAATCTGATGGGAGAAGCTGGCAGATTGACTCTCAGGGAGAATTGCTGGACTTCAGATTTGGAGTTCAAAGGGCACCTGCCATAGGTCCAGGGAAGAGCCAGTGTTGCAGATGAGATCTAAGCATTGGGCTGGGGATGTGGCTCAAGCGGTAGCGCGCTCGCCTGGCATGCGTGCGGCCCGGGTTCGATCCTCAGCACCACATACAAACAAAGATGTTGTGTCCGCCAAAAACTAAAAAATAAATATTAAAAAATTCTCTCTCTCTCCTCTCTCTCTCTAAAAAAAAAAGAAAAAAAGAAATCTAAGCATTATTTGCTGGCAGAATCCCCTCTTTGTTTGAGAGGGCAACTTCTCTGAGGTTGCCATTTAGGTCTTCAACTAAGGGCCACCCACATTATAGAGGGAAATTGTTTTCCTCAAAATCTGCTGATATAATTGTAGATCTCATTAAAAAAATAAATCTCCTAGGGGCTGGGGTTATGGCTCAGTGGTAGAGCGCTCACCTAGCACGTGCAAGGCCTTGGATTCAATCCTCAGCACCACATAAAAATAAATAAATGAAATAAAAGTATTGAGTTTTACTACAACTAAAAAATAAATATTTTAAAAATGATCTCCTAGAGAACATCCAGAATAATGTTGGAGCAAATATCTGGGCACTGTGGTCCAGCAGAGCTCATATGCATAACTCACCTCTCCAAGATTCTCTCAGTTCTTCTTGTCCTCTGTTGCCCTCTTTCCACTCGATTGATTCCCAGTACCCAAGGTTAAGGGAGTTTTTAAAATTTTTCTTTTCTAAGAATAGCCCTTTGAGAAATGTCATCTTCCGGGCCCCTCACTCCAGTTCTCATGGCTTTTGCTGGGCAGCAGGTGATTCCGATTCCAAAGTCCATCATGGACAACGACCCTGGAAACCAAGGCTGTGGGCATCCCCATCATTGCCCACTTCTTGCTGACTTTCTAAAGCACGTACACAGCAGCTTTCTACTCACAGATGGTATTTTTAGTGCCCCTACCGTAATCCCTGCACCCCTCTGACACCCTGGAGATCTCTGTAGTTTTGCTCATACTGTTCCTCATCTAGAAGGTTAGCCTCCTTCCTGCGCTCTTTCCCTGCATCTCTGTCCCTGCCTCCCTGCCCCTCTGCCCTCCCAACTCCCCAGTGGTATTTCAGGTTCAGCTCAAAATCTGTCTGCTTCAGAGCAAAGTAGCTCCCTCAAAACCAGTAGCAACCTCCTTTCCTATGAGACACATGGATTTCGATTTATGTTGTTATTTCTTTGTGTCCATTATTATTTGCATTCACTTTATCACAGAGTTCTTGAGCCGCCTGCCTTATGTCTGCTACTTCCCTAGGCTTGGGGAATACAAGTTTGGTCCAGGAAGCCATGACTTCCAGAAACAGCTAGAAGGCCTCGGGGGCAGCGTGCTGGAGGAGTAAACTATAGTTTAGAGCAGTGTGATGTGTTGCTTTGGGAGCCCAGAGGAAGGTCCCGGACAGATGTGAGATCACGGAAGGCTTCCCCCGGGGGGGGTCTCAGATGGTGGACTCTTTAACATCAGCCTCTGGGTCTGGCTTGTTCTGTATCTATGGTAATGACCTGCCTGGTCCTTTTGCATGGGAGAGGCTCAGAAACAGTCTGCAAACTGAATGAGGAAGATAAACAAAAGAAAACAATGGGATAGAAATCGGCTCTCTGAGCTTTTCTATTCTGTATTTGAATTTTATATTTGAGGGATATGGGAAAGTACATGAATATAGGGGCACAGAAAGTGAGTTTAGTTTTACAGAATAATAAGGCAGGAAATATTTTCTGATCCAAGGTCATCTCACAGGGAGTGGGACCCAGAAAGTTAGTAACCCCTCGGGAACGTTTTAAGTGACATCTTCATAATCCTTTCCTCATCCTTTCAAAAAGAAACAGG